CGGTTCATGACTTATTGTGCTTCAGAAAAAAAACAGACATTATTTCACTTTTTCAAGACAACACAAAAAAATGGCATTGTTGAGGGCATAGATAGAACCATCACAAAGCATGTCAGGAGTATAAGGTTGAATGCAGGCTTAACAAATAGCTTTGGACAGAAACAATGAATAACGTAGTTTATCTGATAAATCGTGGTCCATCAATATCTTTAAATGGAGGCTTATATGAATAAGCTTAGAGTGATAAAGAGATAAATCTAAAATTATTTGATTGTTCGTCATATGTTCATGTTGATGTATGATCCAGGAATAAGCTTGATTCAAAATCTATCAAGTGCACTTTGATTGGATATGTCTCAAATGAATCTAGATATAAATTATAGAAATACCACAATAAAAAAATTTATTAAAATTACGAATGTCACTTTAAATGACATGGAGATGTACAAGGATAGATATATAACTCTTGATTCTCTATCAGTTACTTCTAAAGCACTTCCAAATATGTTGAGTTAGAAAACTCAAGCGATCGATAAGATGGAGAAAGGAAATATGCTCAATCTGATGAAGCATAGAAAGTTCCTCAGTCACTTGCTATTGAAGTCAGGAGGTCCAACAGAACCACACAATAGATACAAAGATATTCTAATTTCTTTATACTCAGTACTATTAATTGATAGTAGTGAACCAAAGTACTATGATAAGGGCACTCAGTTGAAGGCTCAAAAGAGTAAAAGTTTGTCATAGCTGACGAGATGTAGTCTTTAATGTCAAATCAAGCATGGGAATCGACAAAACTTCCAAATAGAAAATAAGCACTGCATAACAAGTAAGTTTACAGGCTGAATGAAGAGTCAGATAATAGCAAACGCTACAAGATAAGTCTTATTGAGAAGGGATTTCATCAAAAAGAAAGATTTGACTACACTGAGTTATTTTCTCCTGTAGTGAATATGATAATTATCAGAGTTGTGTTGAATTTAATAATAGAGAAATATCTACATCTAGAGCAGATGGATGTAAAGACGGTCTTTTTACATTATAACTTAGAAGAACTATATATGGTGCAACTATAGAAATGTAAAGCTCTAAAAAAATATGTCTTATAGGTTAAAAAAGAGTTTTTCTGGTTTGAAGCTGACACCAAGATAATAATACAAGAGATTTGACAGGTTTGTATCAAATAGTGGGTATATAAAATGTCAGGTAAATTATTGTTATTTCATTAAATGTTTTGATAATTATTTTATTATGTTTTTTTTTTGTATGTGGATAACATCCTGATTGTAGGAACATATATGAAGAAGATCAATGACTTATAGTAGGAGCAATTATCAGAGGAGTTTAAAATGAAAGATTTAAGTCCAAATAAGAAAACCCTCTATATAAGAAAAAATAGACAGGAGTACACGTATATCGAAGTTACCTCAGACGGAATATGTAGAGCATGTCTTATTCACAATCAACATGAGTAGGGAAAAATCAATCTGCATCCCACTTAGGTGGTCACTTTGAACAATATAAAGTACAATTGTCTAAGTTTGAAGCAAAGAAAATAGATGAGAAGAACTTCATATGTTTCAGCAGTTGGAAGTTTGATGTATGCAGTGATATATACAAGATCAGATATTGCATATGTAGTGAAAGCGATCAATTGATACATGAGTAATCAAGACAAATATCATTGTTGATAGGGGTGTACACGAACCGAACACGAACGAACAAAGCTTATGTTAGATTGAGAGTAGGGGTGTACACGAACCGAACACGAACAAACAAAGCTTATGTTAGTGTTCAGTTCGTTTGAAATTAAGTTTGTTTGAAATAATCTCGTGCTCGAAATTATTCGTGAAGTCACTATTCGTGTTTGTTTCTTAACGAATGAGAACACGAGTCAAACACAAGATTTTCGCGAACGACGAGCCAATTTGACATCCCTAATATTAATATATATAAATAATATATTATATTAATTATATAACTTATATTATATAAATATATACTATCTATATTAGTATATTACTAATATAGTATATTAATATTTTATGATTATTAATTTATTATATATTATAATTGATAAAATTTAATTTTTTTAAAATATCATAAATTTTGTATATATAATTATTTTAAATTATTTTATATTTCGAACAATAATGATTCGAACACGAACAAACGCATCACTGTTTGTGTTTGATTCGTTTAACTAACCAAACGAAAAAAAATTATTCACGTTCGTCTCGTTTACTTATCGAACGAATCGAACACGAACTCATTGACAAACCGAACACAAACTCTTTGCGAACAACGAGCTTTTTTTACAGCTCTAATTGAGAGTTGGTAAGTAGATTCTCAAGTACTTAAGAGGAATAGTCAACAATGCATTTCACTTTAGAAGCACAAGGATTAATCTATAAGGAGGAGTTGATTCAGATCTGACAGAAAATACGAATAGTAGAAGTACAACATATTATATCTTCACTTTAGGGAACACAATAGTGAGTTGGTTTCCAAATTTTAGAAATTGTTGTATTATCAACTACAAAAGTTGAGTGTATTACTCTGACTAAGGCTAGCAAAAAAATGATTTAGTTGTAGAGTTTTAAGGTGGACTTGAGCAAGGAGCAAGAGAATGTAAAGTTTCATTGTGACAGTATATCATTCATCTAGCAAAGAATGCCTCATTTCATATCAAAACAAATCACATTCAACTAATGTATTTTTCATTCTTTCACTTCTAACAGATAGTCAAATTATCTTTGAAAAAGATACATAGTTCCAAATCTTGTAGATATATTGACTAAGGTTGTAGCAGTTGAGAAACTAAAAATATGCTCGGATCAGTTGGAGTTCAAAAGGGTTGAGTCACACTATAATTCACAACTATGAAGATGTTGGAGTTTTTTGGAGGAGTTTGACTGCAATCAACCTCAAGTGGAAGATTGTTATTATGTAGAGACTGATTGTGTTAATTAACTAGACACACGAAGCCCTTAATTTTATTGATCAAACCTTAGGGTGAGTTTTCTTGGGGTGGTAAGAGGGTGGTCCTCGGCACTAGGTTCGAGGATGCTACCCACAAATTTTTTTTTAACTATACACAACGCTCCAGCGCCCAAAAGACAGCGCCACAGTGCCCAGTACAGGTTTAAAATCGAGAGCACAACACTTCAACATTCAAATAAGAGACCACAATGCCAAGTCCAAGTTTTAGAACCTGGGAACTTCAGTTGCATTTAAAGTTTGCTGAAGCAAAATAGAAACAATTTCAGTTGTTCACAAGCACATCACAATGTTGAAAGGTCCACCTCATTCACAACACCACGCTTCAAACTAATGATACCAAACACCACAATTTCATCTCAACTGCAAATTAAATATTCATATTCTTTTCATATCATAGAGGAGCACCTTGTCACAGCAGAAATAATATCTAAACCTTAAATCATTTATCAAAACTTTCCAACTTATAATTAACAATCGCACTTTGAAGTTTCAGGATAATTCATCCGAGAGGTTAACAGGCCAAACCCAATATTGAGGAACGCCAGCATCAGCAAACACTTTTTGGGTAGCAGCATCACTTCTGCACTCTATCATCAATTTATATGAACCTGTTTAGGTGCTAAAATTTAATTTCATGTAAAATATGAACTTTGAACCAAATTATAAGCTAGGTTGTTCTCTACAATTATCCTAAGGTACGCAATTTTTGTAATTTTGATTGTTGATGAAAGTAACTCCTCTGTGTATGTGTGCAAAATTCTAAAAATAGAACTTATTTGCTGATCTTCAACCTTATAAGGCCTTGACAATCCAATTTTTGGACCGGTAAATTTAAGGTTGCTAACCTTATAAATTTAAGGTTGCCGCCTTTTTCTAATCCTTCTCTCCTTTCTTCCTCAGCTCTCATTATTCCTTTTCCCACCACTATAGTCACCTCTAACCTTATCAAAAAAACCCTATGAGAAGAGAAACCCGACCTCGTATATCACTCTCCAATCCAAACTATTATTATTAAATCAATTTACTCAATTTATAACGGGCATGAGTCAATTTTACATAATTTTTTTACATTTTATCAATCTTTTTACCTGCTAGTTCACATGATTTATCATGAATTTACGCTTCTGAAAGATTTTTATTACTGATGTGTAGGTTACAAGTGATTGAGCCATTTATCAAACTTTAAAGACAGCACCTGGATGCTAGCGCTTCAGTGCCCATTGAAGAACTGCAGTGCCATTATTGCAGAACTCTGTGCCAGTAACTGATTTTAGCAGTTCATCGTTTTATGTTTTGCCTTCTCTGTGGAAATGTCTGTAGGTATTGAGGATGAGATTTTGATTTCTCAAGTAAGGGTGAGAGGAAGGAGCTTTCTTGAGTTTCAAAGTGTGGAGAGGTTTAAGAGTGGTGTAATTTATAAAATTCTCATTATTATAGTAAATATATTGGGGTGGTGCAGCTTCGCGATTTTTTTTCGTTCTTGAATTTTCCACATTAAATCTTAGTGTTCTTTGTATTTTATGTGAATTCTTATTTTGTGCGCTTCTGTTCTAAATTTTGTTTCGGATTTATCAAACATGTGTTTGCATATCTCTCAAGAAGTTTTTGAGTTACCTTAGTCTGGACAAGCATCTGTTCATTGATCATTTTAGACGAGCTATTTGGTATAACTCCCTGAACCTAATCCAAGAGCTTTCTCTCGGCTATACAATCATCAAAGCACAAATTGTAAATCTTGGATTCTTGTCACAAGAAGTCAATATATATATATATATATATATATATATTGAACCAGAAAGCTTATCATCATTAACAATCACAATCACTACAGACTGTGACCGCAACAACAACAGAAATAAGATAAAAATAAGTTCTATTATTATAAGTTTTTGCATAACAAACCTTATAAAATGGCAAACATGACCTTAAAAGTATTGATTGCAAAGCAGCAGTCTGTAAAGCTACTGCTGCTTAGAACTAACATTAGCATGGGAGTCTCAAGACCAGATATCAGATCCACAGCTTGAAATATCACCATTAACTCTGCTCTGTAGATTATTTATGGTTGTGAGGCTTGGCAATGGTGGACTCTGGGCTTCTTAGACTTCCATTCTTCGCCCTGGCTTAGTGTACATCGATGTTCTGAGCTTGAGCAGCCAGCGATGAGTCCACGAAGAAACCGTCGTTTTCCGGGAATTCGATAACAGGCGAGAATTGACGAGTGTTAGATAAGTGGGACGAATTAATGGTGGTTTGAAGAAGATGATCGAGGCTGCATGTTAAGGAGCCTCTGGTGACCAATTCTTCGGCCATATTCACCTTTACTCTTATGGCTTCTACACTAGACTTGAGAATCCGGTTGTCTGTACTGATTCAGTGACATGTTGGTTTACATCTGTCAGTTGTTTGCATAGAGAGACATTTTCTCGCCTTAGTGGATAAACTTGAAGTTCTAGATCAGCCAAATGAGCCTGCTTTCTCTTTGATTGTCTGGCCGATTCACGGTTAGACACCATCCTTTTCATGCGCTTTAAATCAGTAGTGTTTATACCATGCTCATAAGCTCCTGTATTTGTCTCCAAAGAGTTTTCCTTTGACCGGTCTGATCCACTTGATCCTCCTAGGGCTTGGTTTTCTGTACTTATAGGCAAAAGAGAGGAAGTTGCGACTCCCAATGGAACGCAATGTAGCATGGTTCTGAGACCATATTTGGTTTCCTGTTAATGGACCACCAGGAGAGTGACTACTCGGGGCATCTCGATCGCTGAAGCAACCAAAGACGTCAGCGATGTTTCCATCATCGCCTCACTGTCGCCTACACCATGCATGATCTTCGACGTCGACCAGCGGGCGCATCCGACGGGCTCCGCCGACCGCCGCTGCCGCCCTCCATAGCATAATGCGATGGCAGCAGCCCCACCGGCCTAAGAAGCTCCGGCAGGAACTCCTCGAGAACCCAGTCTGATGCACTCTTCATGCTTCTCCCCACTTCAACGGAAAATATTTGAACGTCGGTTGTTATTAGGCGGATTATATCCGCTTTACTGCTGTAACCTCCGCTACCGGAACTATAAAAACCACAGATATACATGTAGTGTACATAAAGATTAAATGGGATATAATACGAATATAACCTTCTTATATCATTTAAATAATCTCCCAACATACACAGCTCTATGTGTATTTTATATACGCAAATATTTTCCCACTTCAAGAGAGATGGCTTCCGATGCTTCTTCCTCCCACGTTGAGTCTTCTATTCTCCATTCTATCACTTTTTGTTAATTTGACCTAGGTGAATTCGTACCCATGACAGTGAAAATATTTGTGTACGTAAGAGGTACGCCGGAGGTTATTTAGAGGGTACAGGTAAGGCTGTAAACGAGCAGAGTTTGAGCGAGCTCAGACTTGACTCGTGTTCGGCTTGTTCGAAATAGCTCGTGTTTGAAATCGGCTCGTGTTCGAAATTGGCTCGTGAACAGTGTGTTCGCGTTCGGCTCGAAATTGACTCTTTAAACTTAAATTGAGAAAAATAGATGTAAAGTGTGGGATTCGAACCTGGATCAAATATATACAAAAGAATACACTAACCACATTGTCACATGAGGTGTTATGATTTAAATTTAGACATAAATATATATTATATATTATTATTCAAATAATATATGTAATATATTGTTATATAAAAAGTTATATAATATTATTATATAAATAATTATATATTTTTTTATTTCAAGCTAAAACGAGCTGAACAAGAGCGAACAAAGAGCTGTTCGTGTTTGACTCATTTATAATTTGAGCTTTAAAAATTTGTTCGTGTTCGACTCGTATACTTAACGAACGAATTGAACACTAGCTACTTCCACGAGCTGTTCGGGAACAACAAGCTTTTTTGATAGCCCTAGGTACAGCGGGTTATATCCGCATTATACCCTCTTGTAACCTCCCTGTAACTTACCTGCAACTACCGGAACTACAGAAGCGCGAAACTTATTTGTAGGTTACAAATAAGTTACAAGTTATAGGGAGGTTAAAGGAGGGTATAAAACGGATGTAACCCCTTTATACTCTCTGAATAACCTCTCGGCGTATGCAGCTCTGCGTACGTCTTACGTACGCAAATATTTTTCCCATGACAGACGAGACTTAGGTGGATTCGAACCCATACACAGAGCTATCAACTAGGGCTGTTTGTTCGGTTCGTCAATGAGTTCGTGCTCGATTCGTTTGATAAGTAAACGAGACGAACGTGAATAAATTTTTTTCGTTCGGTTAGTTAAACGAACTAAACACGAATATTGACGCGTTCATTCTGTTCGAATCTTTATTGTTCGAAATATAAGATAATTTAAACTAATTATATATATAAATTTATGATATTTAAAAAAATTAAATTTTATAAATTATATATATAATAAATTAATAATAATAATATATTAATATTCTACATTGGTAATATACTAATATAGATATTATATATTTATATAATACAAGTTACATAATTAATATAATATATTATTTATATATATTAATATTAGGGATGTCAAACAGCTTGTCGTTCGCGAACAGCTCGTGTTCGGCTTGGTCGTTAAGAAACGAACACAAACAGTGACTTCACGAACAATTTCGAACACGAGCTTATTTCAAACAAACTAAATTTTAAACAAACCAAACACAAACATAAGCTATGTTCGTTCGTGTTCGGTTCCTTTACACCCTTACTATCAACCAACAAACCACCATTGCACGCGCGGGGACACACACAGATTTCCTTTAAACGGTTAGAGAGTGACTTCTTTGAAGGTTACTATATTTTGCCTTTCATGAGTGCAAATGAGTCAAGCAAATTTCAAGAGAGGGGAGTTCATAATTGTTTAGCAAGAACTATTTTATAAAGTTTTCCATCCAATTTGACCCCTTCATTTCATTTAAAATATGATTTTAAGAATGAGATTGATGATTTTCTAGGAAATCTGAGCATGGGGTTAGAAAAGAACACACATTTTTTGGAAGATCATAGAATAAAAAGCACATTGGATGATTTAGAAAATTTTTTATAATAGTGGAAGTTTGAAACTATGGATCGGGAATTATTGAGAAGACAATTTTATCCTGGAGAATACTTTTAGGCTTGATCAACACTGTCTCAGTCTGAATGGTAATGTTAAGCTAAGAGCTACTTGGGAGGTTGCTCAATCGTTATCCTTTGTGTGATTCCATGATTATTGCTTTATTATGTTTTTTTTGTGAGATTTAGTCAGTTTGAGGCCATTAAACTTAGTGCTTATTGTTAGGCAACTCAATTTCCTTTTCATTGCTTTATTGAGTGCTTGTGTATGTTTTTAGTTGTTTGAATCTCTACAGTTACATACCTCTAAAAGAGTTTAGATGCTTGACAAGGAGTAGCCTCAATTTTATTGATTTTATTTTATTGCTCTTCAGATTTTACAGTTTTATTTATGTTATCATACTTATGTTGATTGGACTATTGTTGTTGTAGACTTTTATTTGTTTATGTTGCGATGTTATCATAGTTATGTTGATTGGACTATTGTTGTTGTAGACTTTTATTTGTTTATGTTGTGATGAACATATTATGAGTTTATTTGTGGTGACCTCTTTTTTTATTAGATTGTTGCTAATATTTATAAATGTGGAGCTTGTGCTAATTTGATTGTGAAATTTATGTTGTTCGCTTAGTTATGCGATGGTTGTTGCAATGGTTGTCTTTAATTGGCATACTTAATGTCGACCTATCATATGAAGTTTTGTAGTTTCTCCTGTGATGTAGTTTTGAACTTTATTTATTTTTATTGTTCTCATTTCTATTAGAAACTATAACAAGTTCGAGATGGTGTTGTGATACTTAAGGTTATTTTCCCTTAATTGTAATTGAAGCTTCAGATTTTTTATTCTTCTCTTAATCAAGGTGTGTGCAGGTTAAAGACCAAAACAATCTAGAATGGTTAAATTTACATGAATAGGTGATATATATTTCTATTAGAGGTAAACTAAATTAGTTAAAACTTGAAGTTCATAGTTGATATAAGCCTATCAAATCTATGTACTCAGTTCAAGGATGACCTAGTTGTAAATGGATTGGAAACTTTAAAATTTTAATTTATATTAATTAGACTTTTAAGTTCTTAGTTTATAAGTCAAATTTTGAATGGAAAGGGATGTTATTAAGATTTAATCTATAGAGGTGATGGTGGAATTCAAAATCATCATGAGCTAATGTAGATATGCATGTGATTAAGTGATTTAGATGGCAGCCCTTTCCAGACAGGGTTGTAAGTCCATTGCATTCCATGTTTTCCCTTCTTTTAGGTTAGTGTTCCGAAGTTTCACTTCTCTCGATAAACTTCACCCTAGGACTCTGATGTTGTCTGTCTAGTTATGACGTAAATCCTCACCTTTAAGCTCCTATATGATTGTATGACGTGCAACATAAATCTTAACATTATAATATAATATCAGAATGAAAAATTAAAATTTTTCTTCAAAAACATCAAATGTCAAATAATAGGATTGTTTGAGATACTACTGAGATTTCCTCAGTAACTTTGAGTGCCCCCATCCTTTTCTCTTTTGGCTTCCATTAATAATTGTTCAAATTAAGTCTTTCCCATTTGAAAATCCAATGCCCAATTGTGGAAGCCTAAACCTAGCAATTTCTTGAGGAAAAAACTTCAGCCTTAATCGAGAGTTTTCTTATGTAAATTTGTTTGCTTAAATGTAATTAAATATTGAAATATTAGAGTTTGACCTTATAGTAAGAAGAAGAGCCCAGAGCTAATTTAAACCCTATCTAGTCTTCAGATCATATAGGGGAAATGATCTATCGGGTTTCAACTACAAACCAATATAGATATCCAATATTTTCTTAGTTCAACTAATCAAACCCATCGTATAATCATATTTCTACCTTTTGAGGTAGTTTACTACTTTCGATGGCAGCCCTTTCCAGGCAGGGTTGTAAGTCCATTGCATTCCATGTTTTCCCTTCTTTTAGGTTAGTGTTATGAAGTTTCACTTCTCTCGGTAAACTTCACCCTAGGACTCTAACGTTGTCTGTCTAGTTATGACGTAAATCCTCACCTTTAAGCTCCTATATGATTGTATGACGTGCAACATAAATCTTAACATTATAATATAATATCAGAATGAAAAATTAAAATTTTTCTTCAAAAACATCAAATGTCAAATAATAGGATTGTTTGAGATACTACTGAGATTTCCTCAGTAACTTTGAGTGCCCCCATCCTTTTCTCTTTTGGCTTCCATTAATAATTGTTCAAATTAAGTCTTTCCCATTTGAAAATCCAATGCCCAATTGTGGAAGCCTAAACCTAGCAATTTCTTGAGGAAAAAACTTCAGCCTTAATCGAGAGTTTTCTTATGTAAATTTGTTTGCTTAAATGTAATTAAATATTGGAGTTTGACCTTATAGTAAGAAGAAGAGCCCAGAGCTAATATAAACTCTATCTAGTCTTAAGATCATATAGGGGAAATGATCTATCGGGTTTCAACTACAAACCAGTATAGATATCCAATATTTTCTTAGTTCAATTAATCAAACCCATCGTATAATCATATTTCTACCTTTTGAGGTAGTTTACTACTTTCGATGGCAGCCCTTTCCAGGCAGGGTTGTAAGTCCATTGCATTCCATGTTTTCCCTTCTTTTAGGTTAGTGTTATGAAGTTTCACTTCTCTCGGTAAACTTCACCCTAGGACTCTAACGTTGTCTGTCTAGTTATGACGTAAATCCTCACCTTTAAGCTTCTATATGAGTGTATGACGTGCAACATAAATCTTAACATTATAATATAATATCAAAATGAAACATTAATTTTTTTCTTCAAAAACGTCAAATGTCAAATAATAGGATTGTTTGAGATACTACTGAGATTTCCTCAGTAACTTTGAGTGCCCCCATCCTTTTCTCTTTTGGCTTCCATTAATAATTGTTCAAATTAAGTCTTTCCCATTTGAAAATCCAATGTCCAATTGTGGAAGCCTAAACCTAGCAATTTCTTGAGGAAAAAACTGCAGTCTTAATCGAGAGTTTTCTTTTGTAACTTCGTTTGCTATAATTAAATATTAGAGTTTGACCTTATAGTAAGAAGAAGAGCCCAGAGCTAATTTAAACCCTAT